GAGTCACTTAGCTTCAATTAGGTTCGGCGCGTTAGAAACTATGGGCAACACGTGTAGACCTATGAGCCATTAACATTCAAACAATTTTCCGACATTGCTGTCCCTTGCGATAAGTCATAAATCACTTCCATCAAGTTAAAGACTTTGTAGGATTTCGTTTGAAATACGTTACAGCGCATTTCATTTACGCACTCTACGTTTCTAAGCTGTTTCATGATTGATTGCATTTTCAAATTTTAATTTGAAAATCAAAATCATTTCTTTAATGGATATTTTTATACATGCTTTGAATTTATTACTACTATTTTTCTATTTTTTGTAAATATTATTGTAATATATCAAATTCTTTGTCGATATTCTAGCTTTATTTACCAGAGTTAATTGCATTTACCGATATTTTGAAGGTTCAGTTGTGAAAGAGAGAATAGAAAGTTTTTGTTTTTTTTTAATTTGTGTCCATTGATATTTGAATCAATAACTGTGGCTCCTCTAATTTGCTATTTTATAATTTATCCTTGCTTTGGGCCTCATTTAGGACACACAATCTTAGATGTCAAAGTTTCTTACTTCTTAACGCTTTCTATGTCTTTATTACTTTATTAAAATTGTTTTCAAAAACAGACCAATATATAGTCACTTTGGGAAGATATCTACTCTTTTTAAAGAATCAGCCAGCTAATAATCGTTGTGATTTATGGAATAAGGTTTGAAGTAAATATTGCACACACTGTTAACACCCATCTCTTGTGATACGAAGTTGCTGTAAATTTTCACCCACATGTGAGGCGTATTCACGTAGTTTGATAATTCCAACTTTACCCGAAGCACGTTTAATCGCATAATACTGCCGCTATCGAACCATGGCCAGCACGTTCGCGTCGATCAGACTATTTCAGCGCACTCACGTCTTTTATTCTCTGTAAATCGTACAGCCAATGTTAATTCGTAATTCGAAATCCCGTAAATGCGTCGGTCGTTATTTTGTACACGATGTGTTATTATTAAACATAACAAAGCAGATTTAGTGTATTCCACGCTCTTACATTAAAAAAAGCCACTAAATACGCTGATGTCTGAGTTATATCCTCTTTCCACAAAGGAAGACTGGTAACGAAAGACAGTAAATGGTTTAATAGTGACATTAAAATACACTAAGCAGTAAACAATAACTAGAAACTATTGCTACCGTAAACAATATTATTCTCGGATTACACTAATAAGGAATAGGCCTTTATTGATGATTAAATAATTTTCGTTGACTGAAAAATCACCCTCAGGGAATATTAATTTTATACACCTTTTTTCAAAAAACAGTAGGCCTTAAATTGAAGGCATATACTAGACTCCGTTTGTACCATTATAATGGACCTTTCCGCTAAGCCCCGCCCATTGGATATTGTTGCTAAGGTCCCACAAGACGACAATGTTAAAACATACGCAAACACGTGCGTTTGTGGGACAACACGTGTGTTTGTGAGACACGCGCGTATTCCTAGCGCTGTTCTGATTAGTCAGTTGATAAGTTTGATTGACACTCCGGAAAGTCTATTATCAAAAAGTCTATAAATTAAAGTGTAAAGTATAAAGCCGTGCGCTCACTCGGCCGATATAATTTTATGGAGAACGCAACGCCACGATGCCCGCACAATAGATCGTCTAAACGCTCCGTTCAGACTGTTATCAACAATCAGCAGACGGCGTCGTGGCGTGTAGCGCTCCACAGAGATCGGAGTTGGATTCGTCGTACGACGTCGTGAGTGCCCGGCTAGAAACATTAATTTCTGAGAATAGTCCACACTACTTTACTTAAAACCAAATACATAATCCCAGTAGCATTTACAAATTATTTCACTATTTCTTTCTGCTATAATATCAACTCTCATTTTAGATAGGTCTAATAAACTTTTGGCATTTTTTAGGTAGGCTACGGTATGTTTTATTGTTCAGGGTGACCTGGGCTTAAAGGGAGAGTAGGAATAGGGATTTTACTGTATTACCGTAGTTCGAAGCTCTAAGCCGGTGCCGTCCTTCCGTTCTTAGGTACTGTACTTTGCTCTAAGTACTGTACCTTACCATTCGGATGGGAGGTTAAGCCATTGTCTTCATGCTCTCTAAATGCGAAAGACTGACTTCACTCTAAGAGTACCTACAGAGGTCTCTAGTTTTAGTATTTCTAAAGTGAATACTTTAAAAGAATGAGTTTTAGTCTTAAAAATAGTGTATTGTCACGTGGTAGTAAGTCAGATGTTCTCCCTTTCGCTATATTTTTCTAGTTTGTGTTTTATAGGTTTAAATGTTCAACTGTTTTTTTGTATGGACATGCAATTCAGAAATAAAAAAATGAATGAATGAATGCATGAATTAGTAAAATGAAGAGGTGATAGACAATTGTTTCCAACATCAATTTACCCGGTTATGAATCTCTGAAAATAGCCCCGTATTTCACGAGGAAATTGCTTCTAATGATGCAATTGTTAGATGTTAAAATGATGGTTTAGGTCTAGTAGCTTGGATTCATGAACACAGTTTACCGTGACTTAAAAAAATAAATCATTTTAATTTTTTTGTGTAGAAATCACATAAAAATCATTCCTTTGAAAATCATCTCAATGAAGTAATAATGAGCTATCGTTTTGAAATATAAAATATTTAAATTCTTTTCTACATGAGTTAATTTTAATGTTATTTATTTATTTATTTCGGATAAAGGTGAACATACCGGTGTAGACGTACGTAAACATATGATAAAAGCAATTAAGATTAATATCCATCATGTCACCCCTGTTAAATCCTATCACTGAATACAAATTTATTATTAATTTTCTATTGATTTAACATCCTAACAGTGTGCTGAAATGCGACATATTTCATTCAAAATCGAGTAATTATTTTTTTGACAGACAAGGTTTCTCGACAGCAGTAAACAAAATGTACCTCCTAGTAATATGAGTCTTACAAAATAACTGATAGCTTCATATGGGAACCTCGCATAACGAAACAAATTTAATATATTTATTTCTCAATGGCCGTAATCATGAAAAGCACACATGGGTTGTATTCGAGTACTTGGACATTACCTACAACGTACAGTACTATTTTAAAGTTAGATACAATTACATATTTTGATTATATATTTTTAATTTTTAAACTTTTTCTACCTCTAAAATTACTTTAGAATTAACCCTGGGGCCAGCTAATAATTCAGGTGTTCAAAACTTATTTTTGTATAAGCATAATTTTGTCTAAATAACGTTTCAAGATTTGTTACAACGTTGTGTTAACGTTATTTTCTGATAACCTAACAACTATAATCAAGTTTTTTGCTTGCTGGGAGACATAGTTGTCTCAGATTAGGAACAAATTTGAACAGAAAAAACAACTATTGAAGTAATTTAAATAAAGAATATAGATATATAAGTTGATATTTAACATAATCTCATCATCTACTTTTATTGTATATGAGAGAGAATACCACTTATCATCTTAGCTCAGTTGGACAGTAATAGGAAAGTCTTATATATTATTTTTTTTAGATTACATGCTAAAAGGAGTGATTAATTCTTTGCATTATATATTCATAATGTTATTATATATTGTGATTAATATAGTAATCATGCATTACAATGACGATAATCTTGAAGAGAACATGTGAGTTATTATCGGGCATTTGGACTTACATAACCTACAAATATATACATTTTAGAGTTATAAAATCAACATATTTTACTTATAATATAATGATTATAATAAATAAGATTTGTATAGCCCTCATATCCATTTCAAAGAAATGCTCAGGGCACTTGAGAAACTAAACACCGAAGAAAGAAAAATTCGGGAAGCTAAGCCAGTAATATCCATATAAATATTTCATTTCCTAACACTTTTGACCTCTCTCTTCAGCTCTCTTACAATCTGACCCAGCTAAATGTTACGTTATAATAACGTTGTAGGTTAGTGTTCAAAACGGTTTTCTTTTGTGTAACCATAAATACCATACGTATTTATAAAGTAAATCCTGACTAAATAACATTGCACCGTAACTTAACTTCTATGATGATAACGTTATGTATTCGTGGGGAACACTTATGAGCCGAAACAAAATATTGAACTAATTTTAATACGAATAAGTACAATTTAAATGTTTGTATCGTCTCATCATCATTCCTTATAAAAAAATAATTGGTCAGGTCCAGATTATATAAGGATAATATACATAATATCATGCACACAATAAAACGGCTCAGAGAGGCCATACGATATTGATTAAATATTTTTTATTCATTGTGCATTGCTCAATCTTTAAGAATGTATCCTAATGAGAACATTCAAAAGCACTTAGCCCAGTTAGTAAAGCATTTTAACGGTGATCAGAATGTCAGCAGAACCTGTCTCTTATACACATCTAGATGTGTATAAGAGACAGGTATATATTGTAATGCAATCAAATTCAGCCTTTCACTGTCAGTTGAAAATTATATACCAAAATATATAAATATAAAAATAAATTGAAAAAACCAACTTCTTAATATAGCTGTTTCAGCTGCCTTGAATTTTGTGGTATATTTTTTGTGTCATGCATATTTTCAAAAAGATCACAACAAATTGAGAACATTGTTAAAAAATTGCAAACTTATAATATCAAAGGTGTTTATCTACAATTATTCTTGATGTAGTTCAGAGTAGTTTAAATATTTATACAAAGAATATAGATTTCAACCATCTTCAGTGTTATTGCTGTCTCTTATACACATCTAGATGTGTATAAGAGACAGATATACTTAATTTTTGTTAGTGTATTATTATTTGCACATCAAATTTTAATTTTTCTGTAGCTTATTAACTTCTTGGCACCTGTCAAAATAGCGTGAAACACAAACTCTTCGGATTTTTGTTTTCATAATTGAACACTGGAAAAAGAAACCCAAGCTTGATGAGAAATATGGAAGAGAAAATACCGGTATTCGTGCCTTCAATATTTCTAAAGTTCACAAAAATGAAGACAATTTTGAAATCTAATATATCACGAGTTGCCAAGTATCTTGAAAATTAATTGAATATCAAGTGAGCGATTGTTTCCATCGAGAGTAATGATCTTTTTCTCCATATTTAAGTTAAATTCCAATAGAATTCCATTTCAGACAGTCATCATTAGCGAAGTCTATATGCTAAGAATTTATATAGAAAATTTACACGCATATTGTCATTCGAAAACTTTTATGAATTTTGTTTTTCAAGATTATCAATGATTGTAATTCGAAACTATAATAAACTGAAGCAACGACATACCTGTATCAATCAGGAATAAAATAAGTTAAACACAAAAATATGATTATTCACTAATATTAAGGCCTCGCAAAGAACTATAAAAAAACATTTTAACTAAGAAATCAAATCGAATAATAACAAAAATGGCAAAATTCACATGTCGAGGCCTAATAGAGCAGTGGTTTTAAACAAATCCAAACAACAAGAATTAATAAGATTAGTGTCATGTTATTATATTATCTTTGTTTTGTTTTGTATTACATCATTTTTGTTGGCTACCCGTCGTGCACTGAATCACGGGAGATGGAAAGAGTGCATTGGATATTGCACATTAAATTATTGGCTATGCAATTAAGATTTTTAACTATCCACTTAGCTTTTACTTTTTGTTGACTAATGCTCTTTTATTTTAATCTCCCAGAATCGCATTACATCGTCTACCTCTTAAATTAACTTCCTTTTTCTAAATAATATTTTTTTAAATGTTTTGCCTAATTCTGCTTTAACTCTCGGCAGTATCGGTTTCAACATTTTTTATTTTAATTATCTACTTAGCTTTTCTGAAATACATTCCAAGCTCCAAAAATAATATTTTCTTTTTACAAAATTCGATCATAATAAAACAGAATAGGAGCTAGTAGAAACTTCAATAAAGAAAATGAAAATTTACATGAGCTGCTTATGTTTTATAATAGCAAGTTAAATAGTTGAAATAATGAATTAATTTAAACTAGCTATAGAATAATATGATAAAGAATTGATCAGATTGAATTCTCAGTGCACCGCAAACAACAGAGATCAAAGTTCGCCCTTATATAATTTACTGTATTGTCAGGTATACAATTCGAAAGCCAAACTTAAATAAAGTAATTAAAATACTTTTTTTCTTCATACTAAATAATAAAAAATATAGTCGAATTTCAATCAAACACAGATTACAACACTTCAAATTTATATACCGTATTACTAAAACAAAATATCATATTTATCACCAATAAATTTAAAGGTGTATGCACAGAATATAGAAACGGTAAATATGTTTGCCTCTGTTAATGTTAAAAAAAAAACATTTCTCGTTCTAGTTCTCATTTGAAAACTAGTAACTTATTTATACAAAGCAATTCATGATTGAAGTCTTAATTCAACAAAGGAGGGATATCTTTGGCTAAATTTATTCATAACCTTCTACTTATAAAAAGTTGCCTTAAACCTGAAATTCAAGACGTATACAAATGGAGCTAATTCACCAATTTATGAATATTATTTAAAATTATATCGAAAATATTATGCAAGACAGGAAATGAATCAAACGTTGTCAATCAGAGTAGGCCTAGAACAAATTACCCATTAGTGTATACAGAGTAAAAAAAATCTTTATTTCTATGTCCTAGGATAATATTGTTCAACTATATTCTACGTAGTATCTCACTTACATGAACACTTATATGAACTATCATACATAGAACATATTCGCTGCTTGCACGTTCATGGTATCTATTATTCCTATACCTTTCGTCCGTTTGTTTCTCTATAGGATCTAAACATAGACGCATAGGCCACTGTACAAGACTAGGTATTTGGTATAGCGAAGTAACCATATTGAGTATAGACAATTCAGTTATTTTATTCGTGTTTCCATTGAGCTTTTGATAACATAACCATGTTTAAGCTACTGAAAACCTTTGGAAAACATTGACGTAGATGATATTTGTATCATTTACAGTATGTAGCGCCCTCACATCATACGTACCCTAAAACTTCTCAAAAAGTAAATTTACTAGCAGTTAATTATCAATTGAATGATATATTTTTCTGAATTTAATATCGGTGTAAGTAGGCTCCTTCACGACATTTTTACTCTCAGCAAACAATATATATACAATGAATTCTATATTTCTATTTTATTTATAATAGCTCCACAAATTTCATAAGATAGTACAATTAGATAGTTTGTTTTGTTAGTAAACATAATGAATGTAATTTAATACGGTTTAGTATTACGGTAACACAACGGCTAATTGTTGAAAGCTAAGATTTTACGGAGATTCGAATTATGGTTCGGCACGCTTCTGGAAATGGTGCCATGTGGTCACTAAGATACTTAGCGCATGAGATTTCTAATAAAAAGAAACATACTTACATGTATCGATGGAGTGCGACTAATAATGGCTGTTGAAATACAAATCACGACAGATCTAGCATGTGCGCTATCATCTCAAAATGAAGCCTTTAAGTAGTGAAGACACCACAGTAGCTGCGGAAGCTGAAGGCGGAGCTAGGAGTCACGTGTTACATTATTTATCTTATACAGCTTTGGAGAATCTTTCAGTGCTACAGAATACAGAGTTGGGTACACTATCCTAGCATTCGTATTAGAGAATGGATCCTCTGAGTTTTCAATGCGTTTATCGATTAATCAATGTCATTTTCAGTCAGACTGATGTGTTCAACAATCGATACTTATATCGGTAAACATTATCTGATGATTTATTCATTAGTCGTACGTAAATGATCTAGCGGATTTTATGCATTTTAAGAAGTAGGATGTTAGTCTGACTTGTGTTGCATTGCGCCCTCTCGTAAAACTACTCTATCCGACCTGGCTAAGCACTCAATGACAAAAATGATCTAATTGAATAATACTACTTTTCATAGTAACTACTAGAGCTAGTATTGAACTATTTGTATCAATTAGTTACCAATAAACTCATTAATTACAGGTAGATATCTAGAATTAATTTCCCTTTGCATGTTCGTTCCTATATTCTTGGCCAATTATGATCGTAGTTGCCCGACACGTATGGTTGATTCCATCGTAAATTACAGTATATGGTCGGTTAATGCATTGTGCAACGCTCTTTCAGTTTATATACATTTTATTAGTGTATTTACACAATACTGCATGCCCATCTACGTTATGGTTGGGTTAAAATACTAATACGGAATTTTGTGAACCTTCAAATGTTTATTATGAGATGTAAATGTCGCAATGCTGCGACAAAATTTCATTCCTTTTAACGATGAAGCATAGGTTGTTCGCGATATGTACGATTCTCACATTGAGTTTGCCTGAGAAATTTTAAGTATTGTACATACAGAAAACCCAAGTAAAAAAAATGCAGTCAATGTTAATGTAAACTTAATGCACAATTCTTATAAAGCATAGGGCCTAGATATTATTATTTGAATCTTGATTAGTTTAAAGACGTACTGTCAGTCAATACTGGAAAATGCCTCAAAAATTGAAATAAAATGTTGCATTGGCGGATCTGAGGGGGTTAGGGGTCCGACCCCCTCCCCTTGGGCAAAAAAAAAAAAGAAAAACAAAATCTAGACTTAACTTTTCAGGACCCGTAAGCTGGAATCAAATTTTTTCCGGGAGAGGACCCCACCCTCCTTTCTTTTTGGGGTTCATCGATTCATGGAAAAAAGAATACGTATGCAGCTACTCATTTTTTTTCTGTATGTACCGGGTCCACACATGATGTTTAAATTGTTTTGTTTTTTAATGTATGTGTTGTTTTATGAAATAAAGTTTGATATGATATAATAGGCCTATTTAGTGTAATAAGAATGAGAAAAATTTACCTGACCGTTTTCAAGAGGGGAAAACTATGAAGAACTTAAAATTCATTAGAAGACACTTCAGAAGTCGAGAAAGTTCATTTCTCGCCATCTAGGAATCAAAGTTTCCCCGCCGGGGAGAAACCGGACCCCCATTCTTGTTGGGGTTTTTGGAAACATTTTGGACCCCCCCCCCTCCAAATTTGAACTTAGATCCGCCCCTGTGTTGAATAGCTCATTTGAAAGGATCAAATAAGTCAGAAACAGATCGAAATAAAGTTTTCCCTTCACTTACAGATATTTTACTACAAAAAACCTTAAATTAATTACCGTACCAGCATATTTAAGGATCTATGCAAAAGAATACAGGAAAGTAATTAGTTAAATAATAATTCACGGGTGATTTTTTTTAAATTCAAATTTTTAATTTTATGTTAATAACTTACGTAAATATACAAATTAAGCCATGTGGACTTAAAATTTCCATTTTTAACCACATGGCAGATAGTACATCTATAATATGTTTTTAAATTTCATACTTTAATATAGGAACCCAACGTTTACCAATTATATTGTATCTGATGCTTCGCAATAGAGGTAGACACGAATATCTTTGGCATTGAGTGTTCGTGGCGATCCATCATTGTAGTACTAATACCTAGATCAGTAGAGAAAAGAAAGCGTAGCGTAGCGATGAAATCCCTTTATCAATGTGAACATAGGCCTATGCCAAAAAGGTATCAGCCAAATACATTTCTATGGAGGAAACAGAAACAAGTACAACAAGCCTGAAGGCGGTGTGGATGTTTTTTTTCTCTTAAATCTTGTGTTGTCTGTTTTTGTTTTTGTATTTTTTTTAATACTATGAGTGGTTGATTTTGGTGGTGTGTATCATATTGCACATTTTAAGCCATCAAAAGTCTATTTTTTTTGGAAAACATGAACATTTACATACAAATCTTAGCAATTTACATTAGTTTGCGCAAAACATTCTTAATCCCCGCCATAAAGCGATTATCAGAACAATGAAACGCGTTTGATATTTCCAATGCGTTCGGCTTTACACATCTAAACTCAATGCAGAAACTTATTACTCATTGACCAATGAGAACACATGGCACAGAGTGTGTTAACTAACACAGCACTCTGACCCATTGAGATCGCGTGGTTACTGATTTGTTTACGAAAAATAATTTTCTCGAAAGAAAGTAGCAGTAATTGTTTAAGTAATGCGCAGAAAATGTAACAAACATGGTTTTGGAAGCATGAATCATTATTTCTATTTATCTTAATTAATGTTAACTATCTTGGGAATGTTGGCCTAGAGGAAAGAGTGAATCTAACATTATTTTTTTTTTATCATTTATTTCTGCTGTTGAAAATTTTTAAAGGTTTTTTAAGGGTACACAATTTGCACTATTTCTGCCTTACTTATCCTAAAGTTGGTTATTGTCAATTGAATGACTAATATTAAAAGTACAATGAACGATATTGAAATAATTTCATCTAGTTTGAATAGGCCTGTGTATTAATGTCGTAAAAGTATTTAAACAAGAATAATTATCTATTAATTGTTAATTAATAATTGTTCAGTTGAAGATAATTGTGCAAATAACTTAACTGTAGCACTTTGCCAACCAGGTCAACTGTATTATTGTAATAATCTCTGAAACAGGTCCATAGTACATGTAAATTGAGTGAACGGTATATTAGATAAGGTACCAGTACGGAGACGGATAAATAGTGTACTGTGTGCACACACAATGTAAACAAGTCGAGAAACATGTGACTACAATTAATGAACCTACTCATTCCATTTGAAAAAAAATGAAAACAAATAAGCCAACGTCTTGAAACAGATTCTGTATAAATGTAAGTTTTCTTTTTCTTCTTGTCTTGTTAGAATGTTTCGCACTTAGTTATTTGGTGTAACTATATTATGATCCACTTGAATCACTAACTAATAGGCCTATACAATCAGTTCAGGCGGTGTCCGCCATCATTAGCACCAATTCACAAAGCTTATTTACAGTTAAAATAGTCTCTACCGCTATTATGAATACACGTCTTCACTTAAATTATTAATCTTAATTCAATTTAGCCGTTTGCACAACGAAACGTTAGTCAAATATTTGTACAGTTTTTAACATTTTTATTATTATGAAAAATACGATAATTTTATAATAGGTAGGCTTTTTTTAAAACCTATATGAATTCTTATTTATGCATTGTTTTTTGTTATGTTGTATTGCTGTTAAACTTTGTAGGGAGATGAGCTCTCTGCCAAAGGCAGTCCTTGCTTTGTGTATCCTCTCGACCTGCCTCGTTACACTTCTAGCGGAGGTTGTCCCAGTTTGCACGCCTGTAGAATCGAGCACCGGGCCACCCCTGCCGGAGCTGCCACAGAAGTACAGCACCAGCGTAGAGGCTAACGATCTTCAGAATGCCTACTCGCAGGATATTGAAGAGTTTTACGATGGCAACAGAGGTACTATAAGGACTGTTGACCATGGTATTGAAACTTTGTTAATTTATGACTATAGCACTGACGAGGAGTATACTGTTATTGGTAGTTCAATTGGTCCAGGTGAGAACAACATTCTAGGCTTAACTAACCTGTACGATAAGTATACATTTTTATTAGCGTTTATATATATTTCTACAATTTAGTTGACTATATTGATTTATATATAATCAAATATAATATAATATTATTTTATATGCCGGGCCTATACTGTATATAAATCTGCCTCAGTAGAGATATATTTAGAGGGACATGTCTTGCAAAGTCAGTCATCAAGTATAGAGCATAAAACATGTGAATATATATGTACAGAGAAAGAAAACATAGCACATGATCTGAGAGGTCTAACAATAAAAATAAATAATTATAGTTATAAAAATAAGAATTATCTCGTACCGCTCAAGAAATAGGCCTAAGTAGAAGCTTACTAGCTCTATTTTTCTTAAACTTTTTTTTTTTTTTTTTTTTTTGGTGGGGAGACTGGCCCTCTTGAATTGAAACTGTTAATACAACAGTAGGGCACCGGTGAGATCTTATCTCATGAGTATAACAATATTTTCCGTAGGTTTTTATACAGAGGACAACCTTCCACAATGTACGATACAGCGCTTAAGTAGTGATCCTAATCAACTTCCGTACACTATTAATGATATCGCTAGGTTTGCGGCACTTTTTGAAGAAGAATACATTGGTACCGAAGAAATACGAGGAATTCCGACCAACCACTGGAGAGCGTGCATCAATGAAACAGGGTTGAACTCGTTCTACGCTGATTATTTTTTTACTGTTCCAGGGTATTGGTTTTTGTACTTTTTTGGAAAATATATTAAAATGAATGTCTTTGATTTTATCAAAATTAAGGCTACTTTCAATTTCTTCAGTTCCTACATGTAATAACAGAACGAAGAAAAATTATATTTCAAATTATATTAAGCAGCAAAATAATCTTTGGAATTTGTCACTAATTTGTAGAAAATTATGTTGATTGTTTAAATGTTATCCTTGAAAAAGTTCCAAACATAGGTTTTTTTAAATGCAAAGTTGAAGTCAACAGTATGCTTAATGATAAAAACAGAAACACATATAATATTAACGGTTTCACTTACCAAGCCTAATCTTAATCCTAGTTATTGGCATTTATAATTACTCTTATTGCCATTATTATGATCGATTGCATATTGTAAATATCAGTAGTGCTATCTTTACCATCATACATAAATATTGTGTTGTCCATAAATACAAACAAAAAAGATAGACCTACGCTGTCACAACTTCCAAATTGCCTAAATTATATTAGGCCTACAGAAAATTGTATTCCCATGTTTTGGTTAAGTTATCTATTATTATTTCAATATTACTTATAGGTCTATATCTTTATATTATCTGACGAACGTAATTTTGATATATTTAGGTATGCTACGGCTTACGGCTCAGATCAGATCCCAGTTCGTGTCGTCATCAATGGAACAAGCCAAAATGCCAACACCTCAGAAACTAACGATATCACGAACGTGTACGAGTTCGCGTTCTTCAGGCCAACTACAAAATACAATCCCTACATTTTCCAAGTAAGAAATTAATGACAAGATTTGTGTTGTGTCTGAGAAATTCTGTGTTTTTTTTATGAATAATATTCAATAACATTTATACACACAATGACAATAAGATAAATATTGTACACTAATATTTTGAATCCGTCCTATGAAACGTTTGAGTATACAGTAATACTCAAGAAATATCTCAGGCCCCTAATTTTATCCATTTATGCTACTTATCAACAGGAGCATTTTTTAGTTAATATTTATCCCAAGGCGGCATTTTCGCAAGTACTATTAATATCATATATTCAGTATTCAGTATATATTTATAGTAAAAATGTACTACAAGTAAATAACAGGCTGAGACTTTTCCTGAGTATCAATCAAATATTAATCAAACATCACACGTGACCAGGCAGAATAGCGCCGATCAGGTATACACACTTTTCCCAAAATCCACATGTTGTTAATGTTCTACAAGCGCATGTTGTTCGGTGGAACCTTAGCTTTAATTTCCAAGGGCTGAGCACAGCGGAAATAGACTTATCAACTTCTTTATACCACTAACAATTACCAAAAGTTAAAATTTGTGTTTTTGTTGATAGTTTTTATTGAAATAGCAAGTTTCAGTATTATGTTGTCGCATCTTTAAGATCTGATTTATCGATAAAGAGTGAGAATTCTTAAAAAACTTAGCCAGTGTCTTATCTACTATTTGCATGTATTTGTATCAACATACCATCGGCAAGTATTATGCATGTGGCTGTAGGCATGCATTTGAGCATGCTCAGAAGTATCACTTTATAAAACAGGTGCGGATGTTATTAACCCGCTACTTGTGCAAAGGCGGATGGCCACTATTTAATTGCTGAAGTAGCTATTATTTTTTCATTTTCATTTCAACTTTATATTATAAGAAACATGGAAATTGTGGAGAATAAAAAAAAAGGTTTCTATTTTAAGTACAATATACAATTAATCGTGTATCATCTTTTTCATTTTTGTCCATGCCACATTAATATTGTAAAAATGTTCCTGTACTACTTTAACCTTACTTTTGAGTCTTGATTTCTTTGAATAATGTCTCTTCGTCACCTGATATCGTAATATTATGCATGTAAGTGTAGTTAAGATAAAGCCCTTGTCCCTAGAAGCCTTGTATTTTCTTGGTCATTTAAATTTAAAACTTCGTCAATAATTCTTAGGATTTCCTTTCGTCATTTTCTGAGTGTTTCTTCTTTCTTATCGAGATTCTTTTTCATTATTAGTTTTCTCAAATCTGTCATCTTTTCCCTTTTATTAACTCTCTGGGTTTTCTTTCTTCATCATTTTTTGGCTTCCCATTTTGACAATTCCGTCACTATCGGGCTTCTACGCGCTATTTCTTTGGTGTTGATTAATACCGTATCTTTTGTTCTAATGGCTTTAAGGTTTTTTATTGTGAAATAAGAATAAAGCTCTTTAATTGAATATTGTACAATATATTAACCACCGACGCTAATTATTTTTAAATATAAAAATATGGATTTTTTTTTCAGACTCCAAGGGGTGTTTACTGCGAAGGCCGAGAGAAGTTTAATCTGACAAAGCCGTTGCCGACTATTCCCGAAGATATCCGAATGCGTATTGAAATTATTTCCCCAAATGCTCGGCGGATAGAAAACACAGACGTAAGTAAATTCAGGGATAATCATTATATTGGTACCAACTTAGAGGTAACCAGTTTAGTATACTAAGAAGACTAGTGATGGGATATGAATTAATATGAAAGGTACTACAAACAAATGCTTCTCTTTAGACTTAAAAACTTAAATTTAAGAAAAAAAAAACGACATCAAGACAATTATTAGACATTATTACAGTAGAACCATATAATGGAATAAAAATTAATATGTCTCAAATTGATATTTTCCTCTTAGAAAAAAAAATATCCCTATGTATGTTATATCTGTAGGCTTGGTTGTCTGAAACATTTAAGCTTGTACGTTATGATCATACGGCAGTTGTTTCACGAAGTGATCTGTATTACGATGTCGGAGACACTATTTCCGAGATACACGATTATAATACAAGTAAGTTTAACTTATTTTCTCATATACACAGTTAGCATTGATTTCTCCTGTAGCCTATTTTGTATTTCCTTAGCATTTGTGCTTGATAATTAGCCTAGCTTCGTGTGCCCGGAAAGCGTGTCAAAACTGTATTTCAGTCTACTATTTATCTATAATAGATTAATTCTCTAACGAAATTCGAATTCAGCAGTCAATACGCGTCTGAAACAGTGCCTTTAGATTTAACTCAAAATATTTAAACCGTTAAAATACAGACAATGTCCCCCCTGATCACGTTTGATGACCTCATCAAGCCAGGGAGAGAGTATAAAAAAGGAAGTGCAGAAGAAATATATGATGCAGAAACTAAACCATTCTGACCTAATGCGTGCTTAAGTACACGCGGGAATATGCCAACCTTTTATGATGTCTAATGAAAAAAATAAATTGAAGATGATGGCAAAATAGCCAGCGTCCGAATCAATTCATCAGAAACGTCGAAGCATTCATCCTAATGTCAAACATATTCATACTAATGTCAAAGGCGTTTATCATAATGCAAAACGCATTAATTCTATTTTCCAACGCGTTCCAAATATCTGCATTTTTCATAATTTTAATCTTGGTTGCTGTCTTGTCAAAATTTATTGCTCTAGTTTCTAATTGAAAAGTAATAATACATTTGACAAATTCAAATTTAGAGTTGGAAAACTCTTTGAACAAGTGCTACAGTGCTACAGTATTTAAGTGTTTGACAAATAAATTCCTCGCGCAGAAACACTCATTTGAAAACTTTTAAGGTCATAAAATTTAGAGACACATTTTGCCTCAAACTTCAACCTATAATAGAAATATAATAATGCATTTTGTTGAATAAACTGATAACTTGTTTTAAGCCTATCTCGATAACAGCATCTGTTTGATGTAAAACGACGACGGTGATGATGACGACGATGATGAAGACGATGATGATGAAGTTGTTCACACTATGTTTCAGTCCTTGATGCAAGCAGACGACATGTTTGGGGTGAACAAATATTTAAAAAAATAAATGTCAGCATCTGGATAGTGCCGGACAAGCTTTACTAGGTCGGTGTTGGCAAAGTTGACGGGACACTTGAAAGTGTACATTTAAGATTGCCGGATCGATTTACTTAACACGCTATATTATTTTATTTGCTCTACTAACTTTACTGACATCACTGTTTTAATTTATGCATCACTAATAAACCAAATCAATGTATTTCGAATTAAACATTCACAAATGACACACCTGAGAACTCTCCACAAATGTATAACAAGATGAAATAACATGTAATTTAATGATTGATTACAAGGCGGCAAGTAAAATGTGATGTCCAGGGGCGGATCCAGAGAAGGGGGCGAAATAACACCACTCTAGGCTGTCCGGGGGCATGCCCACACGAATGCTAATGATGATGTAGGTATTTAGTCGCTACTGTACAATCCTGTGAAGGGTTCGCCACTCCTCCCTACAGGATTTTTATCTCTCCCTGCTTAATATGCCGATGTCATGGGAATTTCGGCTTTCACAATTAAATGTGGCCTGCTTTTTAATCACTCACTCCTTCAATCAATCCTTCAATCAATCCTTCAATCAATCCTTCAATCAATCAATCAATCAATCAATCAATGTGTACGTAATGTTCATTGTAAATTCGAGCTGATCTCATTACTGGTTGGTATTCCTAGTAAGCTTGGCCCGGGTTGCAGGGGATATTCTTCAGAGTCTAACTCAAAGTTTTTTTCGTAAGAATGAAAATGGAATTGTGTTGCAGGAGGGTACAGGTCATGGGGAGATTTGTTATCTTTTTAAATAGCATTGATACATTAAACTGTCAATATTCCTTCACTTATCCCTCTTACATAAGGGCATGTGTCATTATTACGTCTTGCAGTATCGACTTGATGTTAAGTACAAGTGTATTCGATGTTACTTAGACTTAAAAATCGTATAAATATAGCTTCAGGTAAGGTGTGGATTTAAAGCAGACGTCGTTGGTCATCGATTGTTTGTTTTAGCGTAATAACTATAGTAACTAATTCGATAGCGGTATAGTGCATCCGCATTACAGCAGTAAGAAACGTGTGACACAGATAAATTTTTTACATCCATTTTGTGGTCTAATGTACATTTTTCCACAACTGAGGACCACAATATGACAAAACCTCAAAATTAGTTCAAGTTCTTAAAACTTCTGTGTAATATATTTATTATTCTTAACTGCTTTCTTTATACAGTATTATCTTTAAATATTGCACGAGATTCTGAAAGCAACACAAGATTGAGTATTATTATAGTGATCATAATTATATAGACTGGCCCCGCTTCCCAAACGTTTTACTTTGGGACACAATTTGTGAATTTCCATACAAGCCGCGACCTATGTAATATTAAATGTCATTGTAAATTGCACATCGACCTTTACAAAATCCCAAAAATGTAATGATTTATGTTTTTAAAAAGTGACTAATTGACATTAGTATACAGCGATTTTTGCATACTAGTGATCGTCCTTTTGAGAAAACAGTGGTGATACAGGAATTCGTAGGGGCGCCAAAAGAGGGATTTTCAGAGATAGAGGGTCCATGAAATTTTATGTTTATGGCACCCGTAGATGACCGGAAATGACACTCTCATAATGAATTAGAATACATTCTTCCCTTTTACCGAAAGGTCCACTGATTAATCTCAGATAAGATAGTATAATACATACTCCCAGTATCGAAATGCACGCCATCGTGTCGGGATTCACTATTTCGACATTAATTATGTCATCATCAGGAATGAAAAAATGATGAAAAATTATCCATATTTGCAAGCTTATAATGCACAAGTACCAAAAGTGTTTGGCCAATCAAAACATACCCCTAGTAGGTGACATAGTTAAGAATAAACTAAAGACCAAAGCGTTCTTACCCTACTGATCAAAGCTACCTACAAAAACAAAGAAAGCTGATTTGAAGCTTTCAGTCCATGGTTAAGCAATGGGTGTAGCCTACGTATAGCAAACGCTTCTTTAAACAATAGTATAGACCAATTTTGCGAACTGTCAATAATGTTAGTATTATAAAATATTAAACCTAATTTATTACTTACAATTCAGGCTACATTATCATTTTCAAGTATACCTTGTAAACCTAAAACATATTGGAATGCCTCACATTTTTGTATATGATCATTTATAACACTATCAGATCGTGAAGAATGTTCTTTGAGTCTAGTTATTAATATTAAGCATCTGTCTGTCTTACCAATATAATCACTATTACAACCTGGACATTTAAATTGATAAACAACAGAGCTCCTATATTCCTTAGGGGTTTGATCTTTAGTAGATATAAAATGAGAGACATTTTTTGTACTGCCATAATGTTATGAATTTTACCTCTTTAACTAAGTGTTTCTTTACTTTGTTTAAGCATCTACGTAAAATGGATTCACCTGCCTTTCCTAGATAAGGCAATCTAACCCAAATCTTAATCAAGCTATCATCAGTAGGCCTATGTATACATTTAGGTTTAATTAATTTATTGAGTACGTGGTTAACAACTGGAAAACAAATGTTGAATGAATATATCCAATCTTGGTTGAAATTTGGCAAAATATGCTATAGAAACGAAAATCATCCGCACTCGAAATTTCAGACTTCAAAAAAGCTATACGAAAACCATGTATAATTAACTGTTGACTGTTGGTCAGCCCTGCTGGTCATAGATTGCTGCCTATTAATTACAGTCTCATCGTTATTCATTAAGTTGCAATCACTTTTATATTTCTTATTTATTTCTAATCTCGACCTTTGCCATGACAGACGGTGCGAAGATCAGGATCCGCGCCCATTTATAGATACCCGAATTTCTTAAATATTTATGTAATAAAATATTGATCTGATGAGGAATAATCTAAAAATGTTAGCTTTTAAATCGTCAGACCTGTTAAAATTCATATCAACTGTATGAAAATGAGCAAATAAATTGTTTGTTGCGAACTGTCCAGATCACATTTTATTTGACAAAAACATGTGACATGCCTAAATATGGTCATGATGACATCACATCATGACCATATATCGGCACATCATGACTATATATGGGCATACAACAATTTTTTGTCAAAGAAAGTTTGATAGTCTGGACGGGGCTTTAGATTCAGTACAAGAAAATTGATGACGTCACGACTGCCTAATACCATTAGCAGTAAATGATAATGACTAAAATAGATTATAAGCCTACATGGAATTTGAAACATACAGATAATTTCTTTTTTAATTCAGTTTTCCTGAAAAATACAAAAACAAAACAAAACAGTGCTTTTAATAATGACGATTTGTGGAATGGGTTCTGCACACATTCATATTACAGTAGGTTTGTAACAGCGTAACACCTTTTTCTTTGAAACATATTTACATGTTGCATTATTCGTTTGATACGAAAACGTCAAAATGTCCGGCCATGACATTCCATAATTAATTACCCCTAATTAAAGTGAGTTTCGTGGATAGGCTACTTAGAAGGCTCCGGTGTCCGCATTATGCCCTCCAAGCGTAACTTTAAACAGTCTCACGAAGTTATGAGAAATGTATTGGTTTATGACATTTCTATTTATAGTGGTTTTAAATTTTACTACAACCTTTTAAAACACGGTATTCCCTGTTCTGGGGCGATTTTGATAATAAATTCTTCATTGAAGAGAAGTCGAAGATGAATCTCCAGAAGGCAAGCAATCAAATGCCTCCACAAATATTACCCACATCAAATAGTTCCTTGAGTCTGAATGTGAAGTTGACTTGGTAATATTATAACACGAGACCTCTGAAGATTACGGTATTCTATCCAATTTGCTAATCCAGAAAGACATTTTTAATAATAATAATAATAATAATAATAATAATAATAATAATAATAATAATAATAATAATAATAATAATAATAATAATAATAATAATAATAATAATGATGATGATGATGATCATGATCATGATGATCATGATGATGATGATTATTATGATGATAATGATAATAATATAAACTTTTATTTCGCAGATTCAAAAATAACTTTTTTCAAATCATCTTAAATTTAATTATCATATATAATGATGAATTCAGATTAGAAATTATCACTAATATTTTATTATTATTTTTACCTCTTCTTATCAAGTCCATACACGAGTTCATACTCTGTTGAGCTATCTCGATTTAGTTGTAAAAACTGAATGTTTTTTTTTTCATATATAGTGGTTTCGTGTATTATTATTTTTACTACTATAATTATATACTGCTTATTATATTTGCTAATTATTATTTACTACTACCAAAATAATTAAAAACTATAATAACAATAATAATAATAATTATTATTATTTCTTATTATTATTATTATATGTTTATTATATTTGCTAATTATTATTTACTACTACCAAAATAATTAAAAACTACAATAACAATAATAATAATAATTTATTATTATTATTATTATTATTATTATTATTATTATTATTATTATTATTATTATTATTATTATATCTATTAATATCACAATACCGTCAATGTCTCTTGGATGTATTAACTTTTTCGTCTGATTGCAAATACGTAACCGTTTAGTATGCTTACCTACTGTACACTTGAATAGGCCCTAGGCTTCGTCGGCGCTTCAAGCTAACATATTTTGTGTTCAGATACGGTCATTTACCATCTTAATGGCTTCATTTCTTTATGGCATATAGATTATTGCAATATTACTATAAATTGTATATATGTTCACAGGGAACGTAAGATATGACGATCACCCACATCAAATAGTTGATCATGGCACGATGATATATGGGCACTTGAGGGAAAAACTGGAGCATTTTATTTTCGGTGAAAATTTAGTTAAGAGGATCAAGGATTTCGCGTCTGAGTTTTATGTCACAATATTCTATGTTAGTTCATAGTGTGTTTCATTGAATATCTTCAATAATGCAATAGAAATTTACATTATTAAGCAGTTGTGGGTGGGGGCACTGTTGAAAAATAATAATCTAAGATACTGTAGGCGTTCCCGAAAAAAAATGTGCTTGAAGACCTGTGATGCCAGAAGACAAGGGTTTAGTATCAGCGTATAAGTCTCATCGATGTTTTCTGTCACAATATTCTGTATTAGTTAACAGTAGTTACAGTGATTTTTACTGAATATACACGCTGATTTTAATAATGAAAGAGAAAGTTCAATTACTAATCAATTATTGTAAATTTTGAAGGCACTACTACTGAAAAATAAAGACAGGAAACTGGCATTGTTTCCTAAAAAAGGGACAATTGTATTATAGTAGGTTATACATACTCATAATAAATACGTTGTAACTCTATAGTGAATAATACCGAAAAGCTTGCAGAATGTCACGTCCTACAAGTGAACGAACCAAGTATTAACCAATAAATTAGGTCGAGGACTATCTTGCCTTTTGTTAAGAAGAATTCCAGGAATGTTTTTTTGGTTTTTTTTTTTTTTTATAAATTCGGAACATGTTTGAGTTTGTTCTGTTAATTTTCTCTGAAAATGCAATTATGAATCATGGCTCAGATAGTGTTACATACATTCAGCACAAACATTATACATCCGTGTTATTGTACATCTCCCACAGAAAGACTAATTCATTGCATACGCACATTATTCGTGGATTGTAAATCTCCCACAGAAAGACTAATTATTGGCAATGCTGTGTGAACTCGACAGAAAGTATATAGAAAAGCAAAAAAATAATATTTAACTGGTCATGGAAATTAATCATCTTTTCATTTGTCAATTGTGTCACCATTGGTGCTGACGTCATCCTATCGTCACTGATATCATCGTCAGCAACAATGTCTCTAGGTTGAAAAATTATTTCATTTTATTTATTTCGTCATCAGTATGTATAAACAACACGAACAAGGTTATTATGGTATACACAATCAAAAACAAAAGTGTGCTGATCATTAATAACCCGACGGCGTTTACAAATAGCGAAAACTCAATGTCATGCTGATCTCCAATGTTGACAAATATAAATGGCAGCAATTAAAAATATATATTATAATAAACCAATATAGAATTACACATGCACATGTTCGTATCAAGGTCAGTTGACATAAACACCATACGCACAACATAGGGTTATTTCGACTGACCTTGGATACGGGCATGCGCAGTTCCAACTACAAATTAGCGTATTCAATATGGTTAATTGGCGATATGTAAAATTAAATTAGAAAATAAAACGAGCAATAAAAGAAACGTCGAATTATAAAACATACCGCTGATTATATAACTTGATTATCGAAGTCATTATTCACAGTCACGTGATTTATATAACTTCACATAAACCATCATCGTTACAAGACTATATAAAATATTTATATACTCATTATTATATTACCAATATTATTATATACAGTCTTGCAACCATCATGATTTATGTGACGTCATTACATTATTATTATTTTACTAATATTAATATCATTAATGAAAATGAAGAGCACATGCTATTTAAATGCAAAGATATAGGAGCATGAAATTACACACTATGATGTTTTAAAATATATGATAAATTACAATGGAACAAAATCGTTATTGGAAGCTATAGCGAAAGATTGAACGAAATGATTTCAATTTTGACGTTTTGTAGTTATAAAGTTAAAATAATGAATAGATTATGTTTGAGGACAAAATGTCCTTGGGTGATGTTTTTATCTGAACTAAACTGATTATTTACATGTGAATTTTTAATTAATAAGGAAAAAGCAAAAAATAAATGATCCATGGTCGATCTAGATAAGTTTAAATAAATATATGTATAAATAAATGTGTGATAGTTGACTTCTACGGAAGACAAGCAATAGAAGAAAATGATTAAAAAAATAAAGAATACAATAGTCGATGTCTCAACACTTATTATGAAGAACAGTAAAGAGACGTGTACTAAGTAATTACATAACAGATATATATTTCATACTATTATTTACTTATGTATAATAACTGTTAAAATGTAGACTATATGTTATGTGTAATATATCTACGTAGTTTAAGACATTATGATGAAATAAAAGTGGGACGATCCCACAAAAGAGAAAAAAAAAGTAATATCATTAAATGAATTATGATAAAATGGTTAACGACTTTAACATTAACTTTATTGTAAAGTAATATTCACAAAATTGTTTTATGTCTATAGGTGTCGCTTACATAATAAACAAACGCATTGGAACATGCGTGGTACTTCCAATTTCTAACACAAGCTACGAGGCTGTACCTACAGACCCCGCGCACGTTAGGATGCGTACGGCACAGGAGCTATTCTTTGGGCTTACAGACATGAATTATGAATATGAAGGGGAGGTAAGTATATCGTGGAGAGACCATAATCGTGCTGTGAGACCATCGTGTAAGAGCGCTTTATATAGATGTTTAAAGTAGGCCTAACATTAATTGCAGTACAATATGCGACTTTTTATTTGATATGGTGGTACAACTTACAAATCAAAACAAGATTATGATGTTAATGACGTAATTAAAATTTCGGTCGCGTTTGGATTTTAGTAATCCTTGATTTACTTTAAACTATGTGGAAATTTGCAAAATAATCGAATCAATTATTATAGCACATAATTCGATCGAATTCGTATCTATTCGATATAACATGAGTGAAATAGCATTACTGCGCATGAGCCGTGATAGCAGAAAACGTTTGTATAGCCTAGTTTAGATCCCATGGGCTATGATCGTTTCAGTGTTCAGTGGTGTATTCTAATTTGCTATTTGGAGTACTGAAGGCGAACACTGCTCTACAATAATAACGGTTATTCAAAATAGATTATATTTCTGATTACTGTAAGTGCCGTTGTGCCTATTCGACCGTGGTGCTTAGCACACAAAAAAAAATCAGATATTTGGCGCTGCACTTATTCGAAAATGGCACCTATTTGAAAGAATCGTTTATTTTTATCATTTATGCGGTCTAAAATTTACTGGATGCTATAAGCCTTGTGTAAGTGGTGTGTTTTTTCAACAAAAGGTCGTCACAAAATTACGGAAATAGAAACAACAATAAACAATATATTAATCTAATCAGAATAGCTCTCTTGTTGCATTGAATTTCAGCCCAACACGATATCAATGCGTACCGATAGTCTTACATTAATTTGTTCGACTTTTTAAATCTCACGCGTGTAAAGGTTAGTCCTAGGTATGGTAGTACATATAAGCAGACGACCCCATAATATATGCTATTTATAGACTTGTTACTTGCTATTATGATTGAACTTATAAACACCATTTATATCTATTCTTTTGAAAAGGGTTTCAGTTACTTAATTTATCAGTGCACGTCGTGAAAGGCAAACCTTCGTGATTTTATATACAGTAACTAATATAATCGAATCTCTTGTGGAACTTAATTGGGAGTACACCCAACGTGCACTGATATTTCGTATTATTTAGACACTATATTAAACAACTTACTTCTCTTAGTTAACCATAATACATGCAATAAATGTTGTACCGGGCCATTAATTTTTTAATGATCGCTCCTCCAAAGATGTAAGGCGCTGTGGTGATAATTAACTTGATCAATTTTATTTAAAAACTAACTGGAAGACATAGAAATATTGATAGTTAGGGTAATAATTATTAGATAACTAAGATATTCCAATATAACATGAGTGTAATATGTTATCTTTAGAAATATATTCGAAATATATTGACAGACACATGGATAGGCGAAGGATCAGAAACACTAAAGGAGCAGACATACACAAGCACGTGGGAATGGTTCTTCACGGCTGTAAGTTACCAATGATAAATAATGATAATAATAATAATAATAATAATAATAATAACTGTGCACGTCTTGGTTATTGTGTTTGTAACATTAAACAATTTAAGTTCATTTGATCCTCATGGGCTTAAGGCCTGTTTACACTAGAAACGATCTAAAAAGCAATTGTTCATATAGAAATTATAAGAAATAAGTTTCGTTTTTACTACTACGATTTTATAATTTTGATAATCACGTCATTTGCTTTGATTTTTGAAAATATGTTTATATCGTATACACGATAAATCGTTATCGATTCGTGCTAGTGTGAAAACTCCTCTTATTTCTTTTATTTTCTATATGAAATAGGCCTATTGCTTATTAGCTTTTCATCGTTGATCGTTATCGTCATAGTGTAAACAGGCCTTTAGCCATATAGAGGTAGGCCTACTGTGTAATTCGAATAGCAGTAGGCATAACGTATAAAATTATTGTTGTTATTTATATATATTCATTTATTTATTATTATTATTATTGACTTATTATTATCAGTGTTATTATTATTGTATTAATGATATTATTACGAACAGCTATAAAAAAAATCTTATGTTAATAATATAAATGTATTATCATTATCATTATAATGATAATCCTTATTGTCAAATTGTTGTTTTTATTTATATTTATTTATTTCCTTTTTTTTCTCTTGTTTACTATTATTATTGTTGTATTATTATCAGTGTTATTATTACCGTATTGTATTATTGTACTAATGATATTATTACAACAGCTATAAAAATCATAAATGTGTTATCATCATCATTACCATTATCTTCATTTTTATTAAACTACCGGGAATTCATATTTTAACACTTTACCATACGGACATAATTCAATAATGAAAATCGATATAAAGGTTACAGTTGAAATACCAACCATTTGATTGTAGCCAAAATATCGATAAAAAAAATTCCCCAGGGGAGAAATATTATAAAAAATGAATACCACAATGAACCCAGGCTCAATAAAATTCCAAGTTTACAGAAATGCGTTCAAAATTGCACGAGAGGTGTTCGTGCGAGAAGGACAGGTTTTTGGATATCATATGAAACGTGGTTTGATGCTGATTAATGAGAATAAACTAATTTTCAACACACAACATTGAGAAACGATTAAATTTTTTTGAAAATATTATCTTGTAATAACCCGCATGTCTTTGGAAGATGTATCGGTGCATTGTACCAGATAAAATATATGACGACACTACGACATAGACGGACAGGTGATGCGTTCACGTGTAATTATTTAAGCAATTACGCGTTAACTAGCGTGGGCTATCCATCACAGAAATGGACGCTTTTAAGTTATATATAGAGGTTCGATGAGTGGTCATTATATTTTACTAGGGGGTATAAAAAGCAAGACCCATCATATAATCTATGTGTCAAACAGTTTGAGTAGAAGAAGGATTCTCGTTTTTGCCATGTCAACCAAAATAAGGTTTCACGTTCTGTTTATGTGCTCATAAATAAATATACATTTATAATTTAAAGAATATGAAAAAAATTAATACTAATATTTTATGACTAACCATTTCTTTGAATATTATTATTATCAACATTATCAATAGTATTTATTATTATCATCATTATCTTATTACCATTCGCAATATTACTACATTATATTAATAATATTTTTTTAAAATATCAACATTGTCGTTATATTATCATCATTCGTATCACACTAAAATTTCGTGTATATTTGAAGGAAAATTGGACAGAAAACATGGTATCTTCAGATTCCGTTCCCATTCGAATAGATATCAGGAGCAAACCGGTAAGCAGCCACTTGCATTTAAATTTAATAATGATATTAATAGTAGGCCTATAGTGAAAATTATAATAATATTAATAATAAGGATGATGATGTTGATGGTGATGAGAATGATAATAATAATGAATACAGATGATTATGATGATGATGAAGATGATGATGATAATAATAATAATAATAATTTTATAATAATAATTTTATAATTTAAGTCAATGTTTTGTTTCCAATATTTATGTATGCTTCTCCTTGTTTGGAGGTTATTTTTGAATAAATTGAATTGAATTGAATAATGAAGATGTCGGTGACAATTACAATGAAATTTTGTATTTAATGATAATGGTATTTATAGTGATAAAAATATTGACAATGATATTCTTACTGCATTTACAATATTTTTAATGAGTTGGTACCACATTTTGGTGATGATGATAATGATGATGATGATGATGATAATGATGATATTGAGGACTTTGCATTATACAGAAGTTGACTTTTCTAGCTCAACTAATAATAAGTAGCGTATACTTATCATATTATATATATCCTAGCAAATCGATATAAGTCAAAACCATGAAATATAATGAATGAATTTGAACATATTGACGACTAACAGACAATTGAACACATAAACATACACAGTTTAGCAGTCGACATTTATTATGTTGAATAAAATATGATATATAAATTTACAGAAATATTTGTTATTACCAGAATGTCACCAATACACACTCATATTTCTTTGTTTTATAATTGTTATCAAAAGCTAAATGATTTTATAAGCAACGTTTTGTAAATTCCATTTTAATTGCAAACAAAAAACAGCGAAAAGTCACACGTGGAGTCACGTGCCTGTCAAATAAACAAATTATGTAGAAACCATGGACAAAAAAAAAAGAAAATCATGTATTTTCATCTAGCAAATACAAAATTGCTTATTTATCTTCATTGATGGCATAACCTGTCATTCAGGTAACGTTCTTTATTGATATTAAACATTCGATTATGACAACAAATCGAAACTTATGAAAAATGAATGAACAAATCATTTAATAATACTAATCGTAACAAATAAGCAGGGACTTTGGTCATAAGGTATCAATATAAGACTTGTCAGGAAATTTAGAAAATATGAAAACAATGATTAGCAATATTTTAATGTACTGTATTATTCCGCCTTTAATCAATTGTGACTTTAATTATTGTTTAATTTAGAATGTTAAGTTTTACCTTAACTGCGTCACTGTAGTGATCGTTCAGCTTTTTAACCCAGCATTGGGCTTCAGTTTTTTTGGAATTAATTACTGCAAATATTATTTTTAGTCAATGTGTGGGCCTGTATCTATTTTTAGGAAGTTGGCATACTTGAGCCGTTTATATTTGCGTTGAGTATCTATGAGTTCAGAGCAAGTATTAATGATTTCACTGTGTTCGATGCATCAACATGTTTTGCTGAAAACCAAAAGAAGATTCTGCAGTTCCAGATTTCAGGTATCATAGATATTGATGAACTATTCAACGCGATAGAGCCATGTTATCATGAATATTCATGAGCGTATACATATAACTATAGTCGGGTATCATTCACAACAGAATAAAAATAGTATCATGAAGTGTATTTATAACAAGGTAGATTCTATATCATTAATAGGCCTATTCACGTTAGGTGCTATGAATATTCATGCAAGCATTCATGACTTGAAGGAGTCAGGGTAGGCCCTTATAAATACCAGGGAATTCATAAGGTGATGAATGCAGGTATTCAATAACAACAAACTACACTCAATAAAAACAAGTCATTGTCACAAAAAGATATCAAAATTAATATAATATTTTGAATTGCATATTAACTGACTTTCAATAAGATAATATACTGTAATAATTGTATCTAAAAACAAAATCAAATAAATTACAAATGCTTAATAAACAACTATAGAATTATAAAATTCATAAGATAACAATAAGTACAATAAGAAATCACGATCACTCATACAAATAACAATATAATTAAAAATATAAGTGATAGATTGAATAACTGACTTTTAAAAAGATAATATACTGTAATAATTGTATTTAAAAACAAAATCGAATAAATTACAAATGCTCAATAAACAATTATAGATTTATAAAATTCATTAGATAACAATTCGTACAATAAGAAATCACGATCACTCATACAAATAACAATATAATTAAAAAAATAAGTGACAGATCGAATAAAGAAACAATATTTAATGATCTACAGACATGCTTCAAGTTTGTAATATGTCGTGATGAAAACAGAAACTGTATTTTATTTTGAAGGTGATAGCATCGGATATGTTATACATTCTCCAACATTGTTCTTGAAGTCATGTCAGTTTTCTATTGCTGAAAATGCTAGAGTTAGCTTCGTCAGGGTAGCAAAAGTTACGGTATGTTATTATATGTTGTCTATTTTTATTTTTATTATAAATTATGTATTTATTATTACTGTTATCTATTTATTTGTTTATTTCAGGTATATAACTTATCGACAGCAATAGCTGAATTTTGATTGCATTACATTATAAAAACATTTAGGAAATAAAGAGACATTAAGACTGATTGCTATATACATTACAATTGGAATAATTACCAAAGTACTAAACATTTGCAATAAAAATTGAAGTATTATTATATGCAATTGAAAAAGTATAAATTCTAAATATCAAAAATATAAATCAATAATTAGTAGTAAACATTTTACAAATTATTGATACACAATTCAGCCAAATTACCATATGAATATATATAAATTTTACCTTTTTTTAAATATATTTTATACCATATTCAACAATACACTATAAAACTACTGTGATGTATGGACGGAATTACATTGCATTGTTACTAAATACCTCTATTAAACAAAAGATATATCTAAAAATACTCCGTAGCGAATTATTTTATCCATAAAATTATGAATATGGAGCCTCATGCTGGCGACCAAAATTGATTTGACATGAATATTAATTGCAATACACAATGCCTGCTAATGAAAGCACCGAAATTACAAATTCTACACGTAGCTACGTGCATCGGATAACTGATTTTAAACATGAATATATACTTGATACGAAAATAAAGGGCTTACAGTATACAATTATAACGTCTTATAATGTTAATCTAATATATATATATATATACATATATTGTATAAGAGACAGATATATATATATATGAAATAGTTTTAATAATTGTGATTCATTAATTGATAATAAGCTCCATTTTTGTTACTTTTTCAGTATGATTACGATGATGTGAAGATTTACGTAACGTTTACGTTGTTAGATAAGGCGCCAATAGACGGCGATATTTACAACCCGACCGACGAAATAAGTCTCTCGGAAGCCTTCGACACCCTCGAAAAGTCTATCAATCGAGAAGAGCTTATAATCTACATGAACGTGAATGACAAAGTAAGTATGTTATAATACAGTACACTGGTACTGGTACTGGTAGGCCTACTGGGTATTTATATTGCGCCTTTTCCCTTGCGGTTATGAAGCGCAAGCCAAGCCTCAATAATTCAGGAAGACAATGGTAGAAATAAAAGCAGTCATTATTCAGGAACCCATTGCATTACAATAGTACAGTCACAACAAACAACAAAGACAAATAAACAGATTACAACAATAAAAACACAAAAGGAAAAAGCAGCAAAAAGAGACTCAAAAAAGTAAGTCTTGAGTGCACGTTTAAAAAGATTTGGATCGAAGATATCTCTAAGGTCAGTTGGAAGATTATTCCAAAGTTTAGAAGCATGACAAGGAAATAAAAAACCTCCAATACTCTTATTGTAACGTGGTATAATGAAATGTACAGATGAAGAGAAACGTGTTGTACGTGTAGGGATACGTTGGTCGAGAAAACCATATAAATAGTTAAGAGAAAAAAAATAGATACATTTGTGAGCAGTGAGAATAATTTCCGGTTCATCTTATTCAATCACCATAATGTAAATTGTATTTTACAAATAAGTACGGTGAGTACGGTGAGGCCAGTTAGGATGTAGAGTTAGTCTCTATTATATAGAGTATATAATAACTTAATGTTGATTTTTATGAAACTTAATCTTATGTTATAAGAAAACATTCAAATTCAAATTCAACTTTATTGCAATCGTGCATATACTGTATAGTGATTTGATGAAACAATTTACATCCTTATAATGAATTTTCAGCAATACGAATTTGTAGCGATACCGTATAGTCTGCGGAGTGATGTCATTTTCCCACCTGACTATCCATTTCAAGGTAGGTTATTTTTGATAATAACACCTATCGTTGAATTCTATTTTTAAATTTAAAAAAATAAATGTTAACACGGCAGCACTGATAGAATTAAATTTTTGGTTTTTTCTACAATCTTTTTTTCATTCCTAAGACTTGTAATAACGTCATGTATCGATGATATTATAATCGAAGTCAGTATTGACGCCAATGTTAGAGGGGTTGGGGCCCACTTAATGGTTAATGGTTATTAATTTATAGAGCGCAAAATACAAAAAGTATGGTCGGGTAAATCGGCCTTCACGGTCAGGGACACCAGAACCCCCAGTTCGAAAAATTCTGGCGCCCACCACTGATCTAAGGCAATGGAAAATGAATAAACAACCCGATGTTTGGTCAAAATGTAAATAATGATTTCACATTTTATATATTTTCCGAAGTGAGAGTGAAGCGAAGAGCTTGTTCGTCAACATCTCCACATTCAGAAATATTCACGCGAAATTACTCACACCTGGGTTTAGTGTGAACTAGGCAAAGGTTCTTTGAATGTACCGTTCTGCTAATATATACCTTCAGATATCGTTGCTGATATACCGCTACATGACATCGTAAGTTGCAGGGCATGTGCGTATTCCTATCCCCGTTCTTATTGGTCAGTTCTTAAGTTGTCACTCAAGAGAGATCTATTATTTCCATAGAAATTATTTCATTTGTTTTCTGGTTATGAAACTTCTTATTTACAGTACAATATATAATATAATGTAAAAGGAAAAGGCAAGTATCGGTAATAACAATTTTAAAAAAAAGCATCATTGGGATTATGACAAGAAGTAAAACATGACCCCATGAATAAAAAAAAAAAGATGAAAGCTACCATAATTATTTACTGACAGTACAATGATAAATATTCTTTTTTAATTTTACTTTTAAAGACAGGTAAATGTGTAATGCGATATTGTTCTTCAGCCGTTTTCTTCTGAATGTTTTAAAGTTACAGTTGTGTTTGCGTGGTCATTTTAGTTAGGCCTACATTCAAATGCGGACGCTTATTTATTTGACCTTAAAATTTAAATGACGCAGTAAAACAGGAAGCAGAGATACATTGGCTGTATTATCAGAACCACTCGATATTAATAAAAGTATTCGGCGTTTTAGATGACGTTTTTAAATATAATTTGGAAACAATGAAGACTTGAATTGTTTTGTGCGATTAGATTTATCCATGATTTATCTAAGAACTGTGAAGATTAGTTTTTACTTTCAGAGTAATTTGATCTCGAATATCCATTAAGCTACTTTTGTAAGACTTTCGTTCAACGTTCGGTTGATGAATGCTGTTACGGTACTTTTTAGCGCCAATGCGTGTTGCGCGCCTTCTTGAGGGTCGCATGAATCAACGTGATTTTAGGAATATTAGCTGAATCGCCTATACTAAATTCAATCCAAGGCTGAATTGCATGTTCCAATAATGCATTAGTCAAGTCAGCTTAACGTAGCAACATTATTAAATAAAGTACATTTTATTTCTTATTTTGTATCAATACGCCATGGCATTAGAATATAACCGAACATAAATTCACAGCAATTTAAACAAAGAAAGGAACAAAAACAATACGTCAAAAGTTTATACCTCCTAAATCTCAACAATTATGCATTCATGTGTAGTATTACTGGTACTAGTTTTTAAACCGTTTTCTGTTTCAAGGATGAATTACCATGATGGTGTATGAGACTGTTCCAAAAAAAAAATTATATTCATTAAATTTCAAAATATTTAGTGATTGAATGACGTAATTATTAACTAATTTATTGATAAATTGAGTGAGTGATTGATTGAGAAATTGGTTTAAATTGTTGGTTGGTTAGTTGGTTGAATGATTATTTGATTGATTATTTGATTGATTGATTGATTGATTGATTGATTTGTTTATTTATTTATTCATCGATTGATTGAACGAATGAATGAATGAACGCATGAATGATGGTTTTATTGATTGATTGGTTGGTTGATTGATTGATTGATTGATTAACTGAATGGATGACTGATTGATTAATTGAATGATTGATTATTCAATTGATTGATCGAATGATTTATTGACTGATTGATTGATGTATTGATTTATTGAATTGTTTAATGGTCGATTGATTGGCTAATCGATTAATTAAATGAATGAATGATTAATAGGTTGGTTGATTGATTGATTGATTGATTGATTGAATGAATGGGTGATCGATCGAATGATTGATTGGTTGAGCGGATTGATAGGTGATGTTGATTTTGAATACTTAATAATAGCCTGTGTGTTCTGTTAACAGGAGACACGACAGTATGTGACCCACAGGAAAGTCGTATCGAGAAACCCGTGCCAGTGTTTTACGAGTCTTTCCAGGTTTATATGGAGGCAAAGATACTGAATGAACCAGCATACACAACGGAGGCTATTCAATACTTTGATTCGTTATCCCTTCGTACAAGTATCTTCACCTCCACGCCATCTGGAGTGCTTCAGATTATAAGTGACCTCAAAGAATTCAACGTATATACTATTTATCGTAAGTATATATTTTTGATATGATATGATATGATCTGACCTGATATGATATGATGATAATATGACAGTATATAATATTATATGATTGATATTATATATGATCAGATATGATTTGATGCGATGCGATACGACACGACACGACACAATTATTTAGTATAACATAAAGCGAAACGATTTATTAAAATGCTATGATAATAATAATGATAATATACGATGATATTATAAAGTGATATATTTTATGATAGGTACGTTATAAGTCAATTATTTTTAATTTTGCCTTCAACTTAATTTTTATCCCAGAGCGGATACTTTCTTCTATCGCCAGACACTGCAATAATAACCGTCTAACCAGGGAACACTGTTCCCTGGTCTTACCGACTTGACCGATATAAATATATGTTATAAGTCACTAGTGAAATCTTTTTTAACCTTTAACCTTTAAATATTTAAAAGTGTTTTGAAGTGTATTAAGTGATGAAATATGTCTGGACTAGTTTAGCCTAGGCATGGAAAAAGCCATTATTGTATTGAAAAAGTTCCGTCAGACTCTGTCAAAGCATTAATGTCTGCTATGAATAATTATTTTCTAATCAGTGTCCGAAATAACTTTACAATAATTGGTTATTATCATTATGACATGACAAACATGGTTATTTACATTACAAGAGAATATACACTTGGATTTTCCTTTCATCTTATTCTATCAGCAAACGGGAATTGTACAGCATATCACTACGAACTTGAATCATTCCTGCAAGCAAATCTCGAGTCATCATTTACCGGAGAGCTTCCAGTGATTAGTTTACGTATTGGTATGGAGTTAACAAAACTGTACGGAGCGACATACAAAGGAACAACATTAGTGCGTGGTATTCCTGTCGATTGGTGGCGTTCTTGCGTATTTATTCCTCAGACACAGTCTACATTTTCCTTCGATTGGTAATTGATGATTTATTTTCTACTTCGCACTCATGTTATAAGTTTATTTTTACTAGAAAATGTAGATGATATGTATTTACATTGATATCTGCACACTAAACAATAATCATCCCCCTATAAATAGTCAGCAACAAATTACGGATTGTGTGATATTTAAATCAGGAAAGTAATCAATCTAACAAAAGTTATGAAGCGTGATAGATTAACTAAACGCTTCGTAGCATCCTGTATGTCATTGCCTACATAACTATGTTTTACACCTAAGGTACTTCACAACAGAGGGATACAAATCGGCATCTTTGGCATCACCTATACCCGTGAGAACTGTTGTCGAAGGTAAAGGCTTGCGTTTTAATGATCTCGACGCCCCAGCACACACGTTTAAACATATTTACGAGTACTCTGGATTCAAACCCGAAGTCATAGATAGTTTACCAAAATTATTGGTGAGTATAGGCTATAAAAAACACTAAAATCCAGCTGCAATTACTTTATTTAGCAATGTGGTAAGCATCATTATGACAGCGTCGCCCTATAGAGCGCATTATTATTATTATTATTATTATATGATTTTACTGAAAATTTCCGTTCTTTGAGTGAGAGGAGTCGAAAGCTGAGTCGGGACATCCATTAATGTTTTCCCAGTGGGGGCTGAGTAATACATAGCGTGATTACAAACTATCTTCGGATAACCAATATAATTATTTTTACAATATTTCTATTATTCTATATAATGAATGTTGTAACATTGTGAAAAATCAGCCAATGGGGAAATCACAAGTAGGCTATTATGAGCATAAACAGAATGTTCTGCACTGTATCGTACGCTTCATGTACTGTACGCCATGCAATGTCGCGTTAAGCTACAATACATTAAGTTATGTTATGCTATGTTGTGCTATGCTATGCTATGGTACGCTATAATATGCTGTGATATGTTATGTTATGTTACTTTTGTGTATGTTATGCCTATTTTGCTGCACTTTTTATGTTATGTTATTTTATGTTAACGATATGTTATGTTAATTTTATGCTATGCTATATTACGTAAGGTTAAGTCATATTATATTAATATTATATTATTACATCAGGTTTATAATGCTACAAACACAAATAAAGCGATTTGGAACAATCTGAAATAAACCATGCTTGATATTATAATTATTTAGATACCATCTGGTGTCTTATGCGTCAACGACACTCAAAGGAAACCGTTGCCTGAGCTACCAGAATATTCGTCAGTACGCACTGAGATTCGTTACAAAGACGAGACAGATTTTAATCGACAGAGGCTGGACGTTAGTGACCATTATAATCTTCCGTTATAAACTTAGATATTAAAAAAATATCTTTAAATTATGTATAGTAGGTCTCTCTCTCTCTCTTAACATTTAATCGGCGATAGTCATAGGTCTGTCTCTTATACACATC